CTCCGACTGATGGTTGTATTGATGGGCAGTTGCCAGCAGTGGGGGTGAAGAGAAAGCATCTAGAAGGGCCGTATGATAGAGAGGAAACAGCTAACGAACAGGAGTGGGATGAGGCGGCGTATTATCCGTGGACTGATCGGCAAGAGAGTGAGCTTCTGAACTTCATACAGAAGTTAGAGAAAGAAAGGCAGGACAAATATGACCTGCAGCTGATTCTACACAGGGAAGAACAAAAAAACAGACAAGCAACAGCTGCAACCAATCCGACGCAAGCCATCCCTCTCACGGAAAACCCTTTCGCCCCCCTAGAGAGAGAGGCAGAATTGGCATCCCTCCTAGCAGAAAAGTACAGTGCAACAAAGGAGAACCAGGAGATGGAAATAGACGATGGGAACGTCARCCACAGCAAGGAGAAACCGCAGGCCAGTGGACCCAATTTGCCTAAGTACAGGCCCACACTCACCCTGAATGGAAAAAAGGAGCAGCAGGGGCAAGCAGAATCCAGCAAGGAAAGCGACCCCATGGYGTTGCTGGGCATCCAAGGAGAGKCACTTTACGCACAATGCGAAAGGCTCTCCGATCTGAACAGAGAAATGTCTCTGCGCACAGTGGCAGTGGAGGACCTGCATCTCAAAGCACACGATGGGTTCTGGGAAAGAGTGAGGAAGGAAGCAAGCACGCTCCTACCAACCCGAGCAATGATTCCCGTTCAATTTGACCCAGAAAGAAAGCAGTGGAACGTCGCAATTCATAGCGATCTGACAATCCCCAGACTGCAAAAGGGGCAAAAAAAGGAGGTATCGCTGAGCAAAATCAGTAAGGGAAAGGAGTCCAAGATCATGGGATTAGTAGGAAAAGGCCCATACGAAGGGGAAAATGGCCAATCAGACACGCCTGGGGAAAAGGATGGGAAGGACCTCAGTCCATACGACGCAAGACCACTCCTAGTATATTTCGATCAGGAAGCAGAACTTGCGGAGGGCTTCCAGTGGAGATCCTGGTGGTGGATGGCCGCCCTACCTATCACGGCCTTGGGGAATGAAACAACCAGGTCCCAAAATGCAGCAGCACTAGCAACCTTGGTGGAGGCTAGAGTCCTCACAATGGGGGAGGACGAGTTGCTGTCCCGACTCCACCCATGGGAGGACGAACCGGAAAGCAGTTCCTCTACTTAGACCGGCTCAGACAAGTCAAACTTAATAACGAAATACATAAACAATGAAGGACAGAAGGGGGGATCTAAAAGTCCAATCTTGGAATGTTAGAGGCGTGGCAACTATCCTTTCCAACCCAGAAAAATGGCACTGCCTTCTCAACACAACAGGTTGGAACAGTAACAACCCTCCGGATGTGCTATGTATACAAGAAACGCACCTCACCAGTTCAGAGCAGCACAAGGCAATTAAAAATGAGCTCATCAGAAGATTAAGAAACTACTCGACAGTTGTAGTAGTGTACAACCCTCAACAGGTGTCAGCAGGGGTACTCATTCTTACTCATAGCAACTTAGAGGCTGCGCAATTTTTACGTGTCAACTCAGTGGCTGCGGACCAAACAAAGGGAAGATGGGCCAAAATAGAACTATCTTATAGGGGTGAGGAGATCTCAATCATAAACATATACGCCCCTAACTCTTCTGCAGAGAAAGTGGAATTTTTGGAAGAGGTCAAGGGCCTAACCCAACGATAAGCGCACACAATTATAGTAGGGGATTGGAATACAATCCAAAACTCGCAGCTGGACATAATATCTTGGGCTGAGGAAAGCCCCCAAGACCCAGCCTCAGCAACCCTGGCACAACTAATTATAGAAAATAGCCTCAAGGACCCGTATAGAACGCTCTACCCGGACAAAAAGGATTACACTTGTATTAGGAAGACAATCCAAGGCAGAACTTCATTCTCAAGAATAAATTTCTTCCTTATATCAGAGTCACTGGAAGGAGCAGTCATAGACTGCACAATAGGAAGACTTCCCCACTACACAGGCTTCGACCATAACCCAATAGCCATTACTTTAGAACTAACCCTGGATAACTCTCCAGGAAGGAGTTTCTTCAAACTGAATACATCCTTTCTCGGCATGGACTCCTTCAAACAGGGCATCCAAAATAAATGGAACGAACTAAAGCAAGACTTCAAGGAAGGAGAAATCTGGTCTGATCTACCGGCAGCGACTAGATCCCTAAGTGACTGGGCAAGCCACTTCTCGAGGAACGAAGCTAGAAGGAGGAAGGAAAGGCAAGAAAGATTGGAAGCAATGGTGGATCTCGCAAAATTCAACCTCATAGCCAACCCAGGGGACACACTCTACGAACAGCTGTTAGACGAGGCTAGAATAAAACTTAGACAGTGGGCAGAGTGGAGGAGGCAGGGCCTGGCCATTAGGGCAAGGGTAAAAGACTGGGAAAGCAACGAATCTATGACGAAATACTTTTTCCAAAGGATTAAGGCAAACCGCAGGAACAACAGGATACACGGACTAAGAGACCCTACAGGCACCGTACAAACTTCACAGGAACCAATGCTAAAAGTAGCAGCAGATTTCTACCAAGATCTGTACACATCTAAAACCATCCCAGGGGAGAATAACAACACACAGAAAGCTAGGGAAAAATTCTTGAAACATTTGGACAAAAGCCTCAAACAAGAGGCAATAGATTACCTAGAAAAAGAAATATCTCAAGTGGAACTATACGAAGCCCTCAGGAGCATGCAGCCGAACAAAACCCCCGGACTAGATGGTCTGCCAAAAGAGTTTTGGCAGGCCAACTTGCACCTTATAGGAGAGAAGGTTACATCATTCTTCCGAAAGGCATTTGAGATCGGATCCCTCGGTGAAGAGGTCAGCACGGGGGTGGTAACCCTGCTGTACAAGAAAGGCGAAAGGGAGGACATAAGGAACTACAGACTGATAACCCTCCTACCAGTAATTTACAAAATATTAGCAAAAACCCTAGCCAATAGAATAAGAAAAGTCACAGACAAATGCTTTCACCTAGACCAAACGGGCTTCATTCTGGGAAGATATATCCTAGATAACGTGGTCTGTCTAAATGAAGCTACTAAAATCATCAAAGATAAAAAAGTACAAGCGGCCATATTATTCTTTGACTTTGAAAAGGCCTACGATCAGGTCAATTGGGACTTCCTACAACTAAGTATGGAAAAAATGGGGGTTGGGCCGAAGTTCAGAAAATGGATAAGAGTACTTTATGGGGATGCAAGGGGAATGGTTCAAGTCCTGGAAGGAATGCCCAACGTCGGACGTCGCCAGAAGGCCAAACCTCCCTCAGGCCACAAGAGATTCTACATGCCCCAGGGGATACAGACGAAGAGGAAACAGATCCCAAGCCTGGCAGCACCGGAACGCCATCTGATCCAGTTAATAAAGATCCAAGGGGATCAGACAAAGAAGGAAAAGGTGAAAAAGGAGGAAAAGTCAGCGAACAAATAGAAAAGGCACACAAATGAGGGTTTCTGAGGAAGTTTGGCTACAGTGATCGGACAATAAATGGAATTCGGCTAGCACCCAAGGTCGTCTTTTTCAGAAGATAGGAGCCCTGGTGAAGGGTTTAGGGTTTAAGCGGATCTGATATTTTTTCACCAAGGATCAGGGAGGAGGACGTTGAACGGAACAAGTCGGCATGGACAAAGGATGAACTCTTCCTAGAGGCAAAGATGCAATCAAGGTTGCTAAGGAGGTCGGTTATAGTGGTCCGGAAATAAACGAAATCCGGCCAGCGACCAAGCTCGGCTTTTTACCAAAAAAAAAAAAAAAAAAAAAAAAAAAAAAAAAGCACAACTCGAAGGTGCTCCTCATGTTCATTCAGACTCTTACTAAAAGTTAATATGTCATCTAGATAAACAACAACGAACTTGTCAAGCCAATAATGAAACAGCTCATTCATGCATCGATGAAAGGTTGCAGGAGCATTCATCAAACAGAGTTGCCCGGTAAACCGTAAGCAGAGAGGGAGAAGAGGACAACAAACGAGGGGCTGTGGCAAACTATTTCGTCGGAGTTTCACCGACTCATCAGGAGGCTGAACCCTCAAAAGTCTGCAAAATCCCCTAACTGATTACACTGTAAGTGATAATCCACCTTAACCCCGACTGTGGTTAAGCATCAACGATTACCTGACAACTGATACCCCGAAGTGGGCACCAACCACTGCACTCCAAGTACCTGTGACAAAAATCAAAGCAGACTATCACTCACCCACACCACCCACGAAACAAAGAAAGGTCTGTCACAACCCAAAAATACACTCCAAATACGCCGCTGGCACTGAGGCACAGCATGGCCGCTTAGTGACGGCCCCGACCACTGCTGCTCGACCTGACCAGAGAAAACCGTTGCAGGGTGCTAGCGAAGTCGTGGTATATATCGTCAAACAGAGCTGCCCGGTAAACCGTAGGCAGAGATGGAGAAGAGGACAACAAACGAGGGGCTGTGACAAACTGTTTCGTCGGAGTTTCACCGACTCATCAGGAGGCTGAACCTTCAACAGTCTGAAGAATCCCCTAACTGATTACACTGTAAGTGATAATCCACCTTAACCCCAGCTGTGGTTAAGCACCAACGACTGCCCGACAACTGATACCCTGAGGTGGGCACCAACCACACTGCCCTCAAGGTACCCCTCACAAAAATCAAAGCAGACAATCACTCACCCACACCAGATGGAAAACTCTACAAACTATCGGTTCATACCCCATCACAAGCCAGCAAAACACACGAAACAAAGTTAGGTCTGTCACAGCCAAAAAATACACTCCAGACACGCCGCTGGCACTAGAGGCACAGCATGGCCGCGTAACGGCCCCGACCACTGCATATATATTAGGTATATGCGCCCACTGGGCCAGATATCCGGTTGTGCTGCCTACTTCATTTTCTTTCACCTTCTTTCCAATTAATGTCAAGGTGTTAATGTCGTCTAGAAATCAGGAAGCAGTGGGAATACAAACACACATGCATCATCACATCACACACACCTCTGAGCGTTCTTCTTTGAGGGCCTTGTACTCCGCACTCTGTCGATCCAGTCCCTCCCAAATCACATATGGCTCAGTGGCTGGAACATACGCATGAACCAAGTGCTTTCCCGGAGGTGCAAGAGATGCATCCAGTACAGTTGGAACAGATATGAGGACGACATTCTGCGGTGCATCGATTCCGATATCCCAGTTATTTACAATGGTATGGTGGATCTCCAAGTTATCATGAACATACTGCAAAAATACACAACCATTCACACAGAGGAGCAGAGCCATGAAAACCAGACGAACTTTCACATTGTGAATGCACAGATCAAAATTTTGAACTTGTTGCCACATCTTTGAAAAAGTTTCGCCAATGAAAAGAAAGTTGTTCCAGATTTCACAAACCCCAGGGAAATTTCCTCCAAACTTCCAAAGAATCCAAAGGCTAAAAGAGAAAAAAGGACGGGAAAAAAAGGGCAAAGGCCATGCACCATCACAAAAGTTGAAGTGATGAAATCAGCATCTATTTTTTTGTTTTTGATGTGAATCAGAAGCTGTCTGCTAAAAGATGGGGGAAAAGGATTCCCCTACTCACCTCCCTCCCATCCTCTTTGGTGTGCTACATATGAGCCTGAACTTTGAGGCGATGATATGCAACCTCGCCATGCAGCATGGGCTTTGAAAGTGCTTGAACACCTGACGCGATAGGTGCTGTGCAAACTGACTGAAGATTGTGTCAGGAAGCTGGGCCGAGCAGTGTGTGTGCAAAGTAGATAGCTGTTGTGCAGTGACAGGGAGTTCACAACTAAGAGATGGCATTTTACTCAAAAACCTGCTTCTGAAGAGGGACCGAAGCTTAACGTCTCCATTGATAGCCCCACACTGCCCACAGACGGAAAGACAAGGGACTTCTGGACTCTCTCGCCAACTGGGGTTATGAGCTCGTTGGCGTTGAAGACATGAGAAAGATACCCGGCCTGATTTCAGACAATATGACATCAGCTATGTGTGTTTGCATTGGCCTTATTATGTGCTCTGTATGGACAGTCCAGCCAAGGAACTCCTGGCTTTTTTATTGTCAAGTTTTGAACGAGACCATCGAATTATACAAGCTGCCATTGTGGTATGGGCATTACAAATCTAACCTAACAGAGGAGCCAAAATAATCATTATCTTCCTCAGTGGCCTGTACGCCTGAATCAGACGACCTGTTGCCAGGCCTCTCAACCCTCGGAGGAAAAGGCAGCAAGGGAAGTATAGATGGCAAGAGGATTCCTTCAAATAAATCGTAAATGCACCAGAACTTTCTGCTCCGGAAATCCAGAGAGCTGCTGCTCTGAAAAAGAGAAAAATTAGTTTTTTTAACTTTGAGACAACTTCGCCTGTGACCGCTGCACAGTTCAAAATTCGCAGAAATAACAATCCACTGCAAGATTGGGCCGTGAGCAGTTCGAAACAGCAAAAAAAACAGTGAACTGCGCTTTAGATGGCCTACCGGT